TCTGCATTTCTTGAAAGATCACATCCCCCAAACTTAGTTTAGAGGGTCTACACTGTCTGCACAGCATATCGAGGTTCAAGATTCAAGGTCTTTATTGTGAGTACAACAATGCACACAGTATACAGCGTACCAAAATGCTGTTTCACCCCAAGCCCCCCATGGTTCATTTATAAGAATATAAAAAATATATCTCCAGATATAAAACTAGAAATTACAAATAAATAATAACTCACTAAATTTGGGTAAAATTAAGAGCTAAAAAAAGTTACTATTACTAACTATATCTGTGTACAATACACAAAGACAGGACAGAGACAATATGAAGTGGATTGTTCAGTAGGTATTGAATACCAGGTTCAAGTAATAAGTCGGGATATTGTAGACAAGACAGGACAAAGACATGTGCAAGATGTGAAATGTGCAATATAGCATTATGTAGATGTGTTCAGTAACTATGTGACTGAGTGTGCAAATAAGCACGTTGTTCCCAGGTCCAGTTTGCAGAAGATTTGTGGATGTTTGTCTTGTTTTTGAGTCTTTTGGTGAGTATTGTAAGGTGTTTGTAAAAGTGTTTGTGTATATCAGTCCTTTGGTGGTAGTGAGTTGAGGGCTCAGACTGCCTGAGGGTAAAAGCTCTTACAGTGTGTAGTCATTACATTTTTGATGCTGCAAAACCGTCTGCCAGATGGAAGGAGGGAGAACAGTTCATGTGAGGGGTGGAAAGTGTCCTTCACTATGCTGTTCGCACGTCGGATGATGTGTCTGTCGTAGAGTTGGGAGATGGGTGGGAGAGGCCTCCAATGATCCTCTCTGCTGTCCTCACTATCTGCTGCAGAGACTTCTTTTCAGCAAAGGTGCAGTTCCCGTACCAGATAGTGATGTAGCAGCAGAGGACGCTCTCAATGCTTGCCTGGTAAGATGAGGATGGCAGGAGGGAGACTGGCCTTCTTCAGTTTTCTAAGAAAGTGAAGACATTGTTGGGCTTTGTTCATGATGGTGGTGGTGTTCAGGTTCCAGGAGAGGTCATCTGATATGTGCACACCCAGGAACTTCACACTGTTGACCATCTCAACAGCAGATCCGTTGATGTGCAGTGGAGTGTGGGTCTACCTGAAGTTAACAACCATTTGCTTGAGAGTTTGCTTGCTAAACATGATTGCGCCTGTGTGTTTGGCACGCCGTCTACTGCTCTCTCTTATCTGTCTCATTTTATTGTTTTTAGACAATCACCGGCACACAGCTTTGAAACCTCACCTGAGTTTTAGCTCTCAGTGGTTAAACACTGGACTTAATTCATTCAGGTTCTGTTTGTCGGGTCACGTTTAGTTTGCTGTTTTATTTACAACTGAGCAAATCGGGTTGGCTCAGATTAAAGTTACGTAACTGCAAAGTTATAATGAAGTTTAATGTCTCACTGGTACATGAACCAAGACTGAACCATTCACTTTTCTTTATTATCTGGTGTGATTTGGATTTTTAAACAGTGAATTTTGAGATTAAACTGACTTTTAATGTTTTTTTATACAAAGAGAAAAGAGAAGGTGTATTATCACCGAGAGGAGCAGAGCTTGCAACAGCATGTTCATCATGACGACTGCAACCTGTACAGAAATATTACATTATCTGTTTTTTAATAGTTATTCAACTGTATTATAAGGATCAGCTATCTGTTAGAATTTTCAGAGTTTACTAACAACGTAACAAATATATTTAAATAAACACATTTCTTATTTTGGAACTAATCTTTCAAGAAGTGAAAACAGTCTGTCCATCCTCTCCCTACTCTCCTGCGCTCTCCTCTCCTCAGCATCTCTTTGCTGCCTCATGCTGGAAGTTTCTTCCTGTCCAGTTTTTCTGGATGAAGCTTGCAGCCATATGTTGTATTTGAGTTTTATACATTTTCTAGCTCAACACATGGCAAAATGTGAAAAAGTCAGAGGTGTGTTTAAAACATACTGAAAATAAGGAGGGAAATTTAAGTCCAGAAACAAAAACTAATAGATTAATTGTTGTGTTGTGCTGCTCTCTAACAACAAAGTCTGAAATAACCTTCCTGGAAAAAACAAGAAGGTTATTTAAACCTCTGATGCCATAAACACATTAACCTACGGCTTTGCTATTGTTTAAGCAGTGAGGTCAGGTATCCAGGTGACTGTGTGCTCCAAAGAACAGCTTCAACCTGTTCACCCTGATCTGTGGAAGCCTTTGACTGTTCAGGTCTGAAAAGACAAAACTGCTTGCACCTGTTTCAGATTTTCTGTTAAATCACATGACCCAGTGTCAATATAAAATTGTACTTAGTAGTCAGTATAATCTTTTTGTGATATATAAGTTTGCATATTATAGAATACTGCATGATGACCCTTTTATGACTTAGACTGTTGTTGGAATCAAGACTTGCTTTATAAATTCTTTCTCACAGTGATAATAGCTGAGCAAGCTGTTATCATTTCACTCCTGCCAGGAAGAGGGGAGCTGGAAGCTTTTATCTTCAAGAAGAGGGGCCACGTCCTTCAGAATCACACACACACATACACCTGAACCTCTTTTATCTTCACTCCCTACATACTAACATTCCTCTGTTAATGAATAGACGTATTCACTGTTGTATTACTTTTGTATATAAATAAAGGCAAGTGCAGGAACAAAGCGCACATCACAGGGCCCCCACTCTGGTGTGAGCGTTCTGTGATCGCCCTTGCAAGTAAAAACTGCAGCGTCTGTGTTTCTACCTTTAGATTCTTAGCTGAAGAAGTGTCTTTAGAATAAATCTCTTGACACCCAGAGTCTCACCTAATCCTCCACCCTCCTCACTGATTCATGTCTGTTTCTCTGAGGAAAGAAAAATCAGCTATTGCAGACTAAAAACATCCTGTTCATATGTGCAAATGTACATTTGCTGTACAGGTGGCTGTGGCTCAGAAGGGAGAGGAAGTCATTTACCAATCCAAAAGTCGTGGTCTGTTCCCCAGTTGCTCTACTCTGTGTGTTTTAGTGTCCTTGGGTGAAATACTGAAACCCGAGTTCCCCCCAGTGCACCTACTGGAGGATGAGTGTGTGAATTTTAGATTAAAACACTCAGAAATATAGAACTGTATGAATGGATTAATAAACCAATCAGTTTCTTTGTAAGAAAATTTCAAAGCAACAGGTTGACCAAAGTGCTGTACAAAGTAAAAAAGTAAAACAAACACAGAAAAAACAAAAACAAAACAATTAAAAGCTAGGGAGTAAAGACGTGTTTTCAGGCGGGATTTAAAAATGTTAAGTGTTGGAGAGGTCTTAATTTGAAGAGGCAAACCGTTCCAAAGTTTAGGCACAGCAATCACAAAGGCCCGGTCTCCTCTGTGTTTCAGTCTGCTTCTAGGAACATTCAGAAGCAACTGATCAGCTAACCTAAGAGTTCTGTTTGGAGTATTTTTAGTTAACAGATTAGAGAGGCACAAAGAGATACTTAAAAACAAGCAATAAAATCTTTAAATCAGTTCTAGAACGTACTGGAAGCCAGCGTGAACGAACTGGACTGGGAGACTGAGAAATTATGGTCACGTTTACGTGTGCCTGTCAAGAGTCGGGCTGCAGCATTCTGAACAAGCTGACGATGAGAGAGCAGAGCCTGGCTGAATGAGGCGTGCAGTGATAAACTGCTTTGAGTGTTTAAGTAAAGGGTTAGTTTTTTATTCTGAATATAATCATACAAAACAATAAAACCACATTAATTATTCATCCATAATGCAAACACACATGCAGCCTCATAACCTTCTTTCATTGCAGCTGAGTGATGCTGTGGACGCATGAATACATCAGTAATAAAAGAAAAAGATTATAGTCAGTCGGTACAGTATGTTTACTTGCATCACAGAACTATGGAGCCCATTACAACACTGGTTCATCCCTTGTGCCTTTATATGTTTGAATGGTGTGTTTCACAGGTCTGGTTACAGTTTAAATTTTTTTCTTTAATTTGGCTTCATTAATTACTTTAATAATTACTTGTTTAACACTGTATATGTCATTGTTTTTATTTGTCTGCTACTATTCTGTATAGTGTCTTTAAGTGTCCACGAGATTTCACTAATACCCAGTGACTGATTTTGTAAATAACACATATACACCATATATACTTAACACATCACATATTTTTCGTTACTCTGTTTCTGCATGCAGGTTCTTAAATTCTTGATGTTGCTTGGACACAATAGCCTAAGATCATTTATCAGCAGGGGTTAAAGTGAGATTTGGTAGGTGGAGGAACCCTAAGATCAGGTGTAGCAGTGCAGCATAGGAACAAGAATCACTTAGAAATAAGTCATATAATAATTTGCAGGGATGGAACGAATCAACGATTCCAACATTTAAACATCACCAGCTGCAGCAGGAGAAACAGAGAGGACAAGTTTAAGGCAAATGTTAAAGAATTACTTTTATAAATGAAGAGTTAAAATATAACTCGTGGATCATCAGTGCTCAAATTCATGAATATGAATGAACTCTGATCATTTTTGTTTGTAACTGCTGTGTCTGACTCAGAGCTGCATCACTGAGCGACAAAAAGTTCAGGCTCATGAATATTATTTATGAACAAACATGAATATAAAATCAGATCAGATCAGTGCTGGTGGGGAAAATGAAATTCTCACAGATTTAATCACACACTCGTCCTGTTTTCAGGGTTTTGGGTTTTTGATTCGTGTTCACCTTTCTTGTTTTTATGATGACAGTGTTGTGATACTATTCTGTTTTTGGCTTTTGTGTTCAGTCATTATTAGAGACAAATTGTTGAAAAGAGCTACTTTTTACTGTCTTGAACTGTTTTAGTTTTTCTTGAGTTTAGCTTATACCGAGAAAGCAAACAGATTTACCAACATACAGAAATAAAATGACCTTTGACCTTTAGTTGTACCGCTAAATCCTCTACTTCAAACACTTCATTCAATCGTGCAGAAAAAA